ATCATTTTTCCTACAGGCTGGGGGCAGGGGGGGTCTGGAAGAGATCAGTTCATATGTCGCCAAGTCGATGCAGCTTCAAAAGCAAAGTCCTCAACCTGAATCTTTGCACAAGCCTTGCAGCAATGGGCCATTCAACACGAGGCATGTGGGCAAGATGTTCCTCGTGCTATGCGTGGAGACACAAGACCGAGCAGAAACGCAGCGTGCGTTGTTGACCGTTGACATGTATGAGTTTCATAGCCTGCCGCGGGTCTTCAAAGACGATGATGAGCTGCTCTTGCTGGCTTTACATGGAAACAGGCGACGCTGAAGGCAAAAAAAAGTACCGCTCAGCAAGCCCTCTCTGCTAGAAAAAGTCAGTCTTGCCTACTCCGCTGCTAACGAAAGAAGCTTGTAGGACGTCTTGGCTATGCAGTCTAATGCGCTCAACTTGGCAGGCCCAAACACGACCGATAAAACAACATCATGTGCAATAAGTTCGAAAGTAATTCATGAGGATTTATGAGACTTTCCGGCCACAAAATCGTCCATCAGCACAAGACTCCCTTCAAACACAGTGCTTTTGCAATGCCTCACGAAAATTTGGGAGGCCCAAAAACACTGCGATCAGTTCGCATCGCAATGCCTAATAGCAGCAGCAGCAGCAGCAGGAGTAGTAGTAGTAGTAGTAGTAGGGGTAGTAGCTGTTGCTAGCAGTAGTTAGTAGTCAGTAGTTAATAGTTAGGAGTCAGTACTCAGTAGTCAGTTGTCAGTATTTAGTACTTAGTAGTGGGAGTACTAGCTAGTAGGTTTAATAGGTCTAGTAGGTTCAGTGTAGTACTAGTGAGCAGTATGCTGTATGTGGTCTGTAGATGTCTGTAGTAGAAGTTCTTGTCGTCATTCATGCGCCACCCTATGTAGTCTGTAGTAGCAGTCGTTGTCGTCGTTCATTTGCCACCGCTGTGCGGAACAAAATTAAAGCACCCTGGACCTAGGAGCACCCAGTACACGAACACGGAGTATTTGTTCCGCGAGAAGTAACGGCATCACACTGCCAAGAGCATTGCAATTCCTCTCTCTTCTGTCAGAACCGGAAGATTCCATGATCGCAAACGTTGCCTCAGCTTTCTGCGTTGCAAGCGAGGTTAGACCCGGTCTGTCTTACCTTATGAACACAGCACATGTAACTTGCAACTCCCAACCCAGCTCCTGCCAAGCTCTGTCTTTAAGAACTCTTTGACTTTGCCGTTCCTTGGTAGGGGGCATTACGAGTCCCGTATGCACTAACGTTTACAGGGGACCTTGCGCACCCAATCGGACTGACACGCGAGGTGCAGCACCATTGGCCAGATGGATCCTTTCCACCTGGCCCTGAGCCACGGAAGTCGTGAGTGACAGTCCCTGACAGCAGCTCACAGGCATGCATCCTGCCTTGAGGCCGCGCCTCAGAACTCAGGCATGGAGGTTTCACAAGGAGCTACCACTCCTCCGGCTTGGCCGACTTAAGCTTGAATGAGTTGGACGCCACTTGCAAGGTTTTGGCACGGGGGGCCAGGAAGCAAAGCTGGGGCTGGTTAGCACTCAGGATGCTGCCATGGGGGTGCTGCCAACACCTCGACCCAATCGCCTGGACCTGGCAGCACTGGTGCCTCTCCCAAGGTGACAAAACAGGTCTTTGGCATCTGCTCAAATCTGTCACTAATTCTGTCTGGATTAGTTGCGCCCGAGTCCGTCAATGAACACATGCTGGCAGGAACTCAAGAGATGATTGGCAGCCATCCTTGGTTCATGCGGCACATCGATGCACCATATGTGAAATATCCACGCAAGACCCGAAAAACTGCTGGGCGCCCGGCGCGCCGGGTACCGCCCTGCGCTGCAGCTGCTTCTGAGATTGTCGTATTGCAGCACTTCTGGGGCCGGCGCGGCTGAAGATGGTTCTGAGCCTGGTACTTCGCCTCTGAAACTATTCAGGTCTTGAGCCCCTTTGCTCTTGCATGCACACATGACGCGGCGCAAAGGCTGATAGCACAGAGCACAGGCCTCCGCTTCCTGATCCACCTCAACCTTCAAATCCTGGGGTCACAGACATCTCGCAGCTGAACGATGGATTTGTTGCCGGCCTCGAGTACGTCACCAACTATTCGAAAGCGCGAGCCAAGCTTCTGAGTCTCCTGTGCTGAACTTCATCACCATCTCCCCCACATGACACATTCATGGTGAAATCAGTAGTGAGTGAGTCCAGCTTCAGGCGCTGCACCACATCCTGGCTGGAGCGCTGTCGTGTTTCATTACAGCCGTTCGAAGAAGTGTATCAGCAGGAATGTCTGCGGCTTGAATAAAACATCTTGAGCGAATTAGATTTTCTGGTGAGGGTGACCAGAACCATTCGACAGAGCCATCTTTTACAGAATCAACCACGATACCTCCGAGCTTGCCTGGATCGCTTCCCTCCCAGGCGTCAACGTTCCATCAGCTACAGTCGTAGGTCAGATCACTTCATAAAAAGCATAGCTTCTCGTGGCATGCTTAACTGTAGACATTTGCGCCAGCAAGCTTACATGAGGGAATACAGCGGCTTCTGAGACACTAGCTGCGGTGTCTCTGGGCCAAACCCTACCACTGCTTGCACGCGCCTGGAACTGTCTTTCTTTAACAGCCATCTGTGCCTCACCGAGCATAAAGCAGCAGGAAAAATTGAAGAATGTCCAGCCTTTTAATAGGTCGCCTGCAGCTCTGCTTGCATCTGTCGTTGCAGCGCCGACGTTCTGGCTTGCAGCTTGGCCTCGCAACTTGTTCGAACTTCAAGGTTTGCAGTCTCAAGCCAACCTACCGTACAAAAGATATGATGGGCAGATATGGGCCGCACACCTCCACCCAGCCACAGTACAGGCAGGCGCACAATTTCGATGCGATGATGCAATGCAAGGCTAAACAGTCAACCAGCTACAACTCTGCACAAGAATTCAGATATCTCGACCGTCTTTGTTGGTCTAAGCGGGTGTTCTTCTACTCTTTGTCATTACCGAGCAGTTGTTCAAAGGAAAAGATGTCAACAGCAAGGGAGATGGCGAAGTGGCCTTCCCTTTACGAAGCTCACTGTACAAGGCTGAATTGAAGATGTTCCACCTGAACGCGCTTACCTGGCAGCATTGTGATGAAAGATTGTGAGTTCCTTCAGTAGGCAGACGTGCTATGACTGCTGATAAGCAAAAGTCAAATGTTCAGCAGGCTGGTGTACCAATCAGCCAGCCTCCATGTCAGCAACCTCAACCTCACGACGCGCCAGCTCTGCTTCCTGCCCACGCTATGCCAATCTGCCAATTCCCTGATCGTTCCGAATCGGAATATTTGCGGTTGCCAAGGACCGTTCCAAATCATTGTTGTGCTGCTGAGAGTGTTTAGGATGCCTTGTTTCAAAAGCACACTGTACAGTCTGGGCTGCTGCTGTAACCTTGTCTTTCCCTGTCAAGACAGGAGTGGGTTTGCTAGCCTTCTCGGTTCCTGCGGCTGGTGCCAGATGGCCTTTGCACCCTCAGCCAACTTCCCAATTCTGTGACCTGTGACTTGAAATTATTCAAGTTGCAAGCCAGACCTTGCACGGTTCTGAAACATGGCTATATCAGCAGTCGAAGATCTGAAGATCTCCAGCCTTCGCATTTGCTTCCGCGATTGCTGTCCTGGCTGCAGCCTTCGATTCCATGTGCTTGCATGGGGTTTCAGCCAAGCGAGACTCATGAGCCCTGGCCTCTCGCTGTTCGGCATCTACACGCGCTGACTCAAAATCCTGGACAGCACAGGCAGCACTGACAACATCACCAGCAAGGTGCTACATCACGGCCTTTTCTGCGTCAGCTGCCTCGCACGCGTGGGCAGCAGAGCATAATATCCAAGATTAGCCCACCAAGCCTTGCCTTGCGCTGCAATGCTATCAGCTGCCTCTGATCGTCACCTAGAAGTTCCACTGCGCGAGCCACCTGACTACAGCGAGATGGAGGTCCTGCAAGATAGGAATCCTTACCTGAGTAGAAGACCAGCGAGCCAGGAAGTCCAAGCCGCTGGGCCGTCTCCATAGCATGAGACTCCCCAACCTAGGACAGGACCACTTCAAAAGAAGAATGTAAATCTTTCCCGGCTCTGAGACCATGTTTGTTGCCAGCCGATATGTTGGCCGCCCGCTCTTGTACCTCAAGGGCAGACGGACTTTTCAGCAAGCGTGTTGATGGGAATCACAACAACATCAGCAAATTCAGTTGCCACGAGTCAGGAACCAGCCGCCCGTTCCATCCATCTTCTGAGTAAGCGTGAGTGAGTCAATGTGTAAGTGACTGTCAAGGAGCACATTTGGCGCAGCCTGCCGCCCACATCCCTCTTAACTTCTTAGGTGGGTTCCGCAAGCGTCGTGCCCCCCTTCCGTCTAGAGTTCAATCGGGGTAGCTAATGCAGGCAGGACGCACTCGCCCAGCTGTAACCAGTGTGCTATCAAACTGATCACATATTGCTATCAACCGCGCCTTTCTAATAAGACCTTTGGTAGAGTACACCACGTGTCAAACGGTACATGTAAGCATCACTGAGCTAAAAACACACCAAATGGTAGTTAGTTTCACACTTTAGAACAGACAGCCTCAACAAAAGAACCCGTAACACATGCTGCAACAAGACTCTTCCACGAATTACTCACAAGATGCTCGCCTGTCAGGTGTCAGTAGTTAGTAGTAGCACCAGGCATGCCAGAGCGAGAAAGGGTGGCGTGGCTAATCCCAGCATTAGCTAGCTTCAAGTAGTGAGTAACAACCGCTGGTTAAAGAATGGCGCACATTCACATCCGAACAGATAAGCATAGATAAGAATGCTCATAGTTAACGATTCTACCCTGAGTCCTGTACAACACGTACCTGAATCCTGCGTCTGTGGCATACCTGCATTGCAATACTGCAATGATACCAACACCCCGGAGGTCCACCCAACTTCCAAGCCCAGCCCCGCATCTGCATCTTCTATTTGAAGATCCACCTCAAACTGTGGTGTTTGGAGTCTAGATCAGACCCTTCACTTATTGTGGCCACTTGGACGGTCACCTGAAATGTGGGATCAGCATGGGGTCTGCTTCTTCGTTGCATGGCTCGGTTCGCGATCTTTCCATTTTCCTCCTCGTTCCTCACCACCCTCCAACACGAGGGCTGCTGCCCTTGCTGCCTGAGCCCAAAACGGATCTCTCAGCTTCGTCTTTCACACCCTTGCAATACTAGACATCCAGCTGTCTGGTCACAACAACTAGATCGACATGCATGGGCTTTGGAAGCTCCATCCAGACAAATCGGGAGTTTCGATCCTCCTGCGAATACAACTCCATCTGTATCCTGATTTTGCCCCACCCTTCCCAAGACGGAAAAGAGAGAAAAGCAACGCTTCTCAAACCAGGCTCTTATAGTCGACTGCATCAAGGCTGACTCGGCTCTTTGGCACTCAGGATGTCACTCGTGGTTTCTGCCCGCATCCCTTCCAAAAAGCTCTCACGAATGGAGTCGGCACGTTGCATTCTTCAGCTTTTGCAGAAGGTTGTTCAGTAAAGTCCCCCTCAATGAATGCTGGCTATTAAGAAATCTAAGGGTGACCTGCTAACCAATCATACCACCTCAAATTGGCCAATTGGCCAATCACTGATCACTGATCACTGAATCAAATAATAACTTCATCACCCAAGGCCGCGATTTCAAAGCCATCGCCCTTCCCCAAAAGATTGGTAACCCAAATGATATGGATTACGCTGGCCCCGAGTTTAGGTCATAGGTCAAGGAATTGATTGCATGAACAGGGATGCTCGAAGTGAAGCGGGAGCACTCCATCGCAGCAGTCATTGTTCTGTCGTCCTGCGGACAAGACAAGCATGAAACGCAAAGCATTTGGCGGAAAGCGCAAATGCCCATAGCTGCACTTCGCTGCAGACGGTCTCGCTTCTATGTACACACCAAACCAGCATGTGCACTATTTGCACCGCCACAGTGAAACGTATAAATCAATAACTCGGACAACTACCACTACTCTAATCAAGAGGCTGGTAAGTAAGCTCAACGCTCACAAAACCTCTAGGTTTATTTCTCTGCAGCAGCCGGATGCATATGCAGGAATGGCCATCTCCGCCAGTCAACTTCCTTGGAGTTGTCGAAGTTTAGAGCACGAAAAATACAAGTCTTTTAATCTTCACACAGTTCTTAGAGCAGTGAAGCCCCGGAAAGGTGCCCTGACCGGACCTCCCCAGTCGCCCCACTTGCCCTGTGGCTGTTTTTGAAGTTACCTGGGTCCGAAATACGCAGAATCTTTGTATAGATTCTCTTGCCGTGCCCTGGCCATTCTTATCCCGCTTGCCCCAATTTGCATGTCTGCTTTTCTCACCAGCAATGAGGTCTTGCCTTCATAGCAGCTGAAGGCACGCTGACTTGATACAAGAATCACGCAAACATGCTGGAAACCTGAGCATTGGCAGCAGGCTGTGGGCAAGGCCGAAATTCTGAAAAGCTTCTGAAGTACAGACCAGGTGGCTGATCATTGAAAACAGCGGAAGTGCCCGTGCTGCTACTCCGGAGTGCTTGACGAAGCGGAATTTCCTGAGCATTCTGTCTGCAGACAGGGCATTTACTAGACCCCATGAAAGTCGTGTGGCGTATCACGTGCTGGTAAGGACCTGTCGCATTGGCCGATAACATCATCCTGGTTCAGCACAACACGGCAGATGGCTGACAATGTGGTTTCCGAATCTTCTGAGTCCCTCTCCTGGCTGAAGGTATCGGCATCCCAAACACAAAGCCGCAAGATGTCCACATGGGGATTCCGCACATTCAGCATCAGCGTCTCGTCCTGAAATGAACACCATAGCACAAATCAGCCGCGGCGCATTAGGCAGTCACATGACCCATACAGAAGCTGGGGGCAACACCCAAACAGGATCTGCGCAGTTCGCGATGGCTCTCGTGCGCACACGCTGCTGTCCACTCACTAGCTCCTTGCACTCCCGCGCGCTTCGAGGATCTTCAAATGAGCAGCCATACAAGGAACGCAGGCAAGGCACTGCGACAACATATGGATCACTCTGGGTGGTGAGATCCAATGCAATGAGTTGCTTAGCCTCAAAACATTGCGGACATGAATGTGGCTGGTGTTGGGTGATCCAGACGCAGAGCTTGGGCGCACACAGACTTGACCCTGATCATGAGTACGCCGCCTCAAACATGGAAGCGTGCAGTGCCGAAAGCTTGCTTGCTCAATGCTGCGCATGCGCGCTGAGCTTAACATTGTAGAACATGAACTGGACACACTCATCATGAGCAGTGGTGGTCCTTGCGTCTGTGCAAAAAGTCTCAGGATTCACATTGAGCCGCTCATGCAAAAATCAAGCAGGTACTCCAAGGCCAAGGTCTGCAAGGTTGAGAGGCCATTGAAAGCAAGCCCGGAATCACTCAGAATCTGAAGCGAAACGCAACAACTTGCATACTCCATGACTTTGCAGCCCGGCTGCGGAACTCAACAGACGCAACCGTAGTGACAGAGCCAGACAAGCTAGACCTCAAAACACAAGTCTAAAAAGGCAGCTCACGGCCTTCAGCTTGGTCGCAGATTGCTATGCAAACGGCGTGCGTAATCTAATTGATGTGGATGCCACAGAATACCAAACCAAACAATGCAAAGATGGCAAAGATGTTGGAGATTGTTGGGGCATTGCAGCAGAGGCTCTCAACCAGCTTACCGCTGCCATTTCTCGTGAAGCTCTTCTCTTGGTACTTGGATCCTTGAGTACGGCTGGGCTTGGCAGCTTATTTGGGAAGAGGCCAACGGCCTCCGTTGCAGACGTCTGGCGAGCATCAGTACGCATTCAAGCCCAAGCACGCACGAAGACATCCAGAGCTTCAGCAAAGTTCACCTCAAATGTCGCTGAACACAGATGCATACAGACAAATGGCAAAAGGCGACGACCCATCAAAGAAATCCTGCAGTAGATGCTATCGACTATCGATCTCAGTCTAGCTGCACTCAGCTGGAGCAGGCACGGGTCTAGAACATAATTTAGAAAAAGAAGCAAACCAGAAATCGGTCCTCTGAGTGATTCCTCAATTTATGACACGCAGATCCGGGCTCGTTATACCCAGGCGGGTCCGGCCACCTATTCACCAGGGTGAAATCCAGGCGGCTGGACGTGGCTTAGGAAAGATGAATCCCGGGGCTTGACCCTTTTGGGAAGGTGGTTTCAGGGG